AAGCAACTGCTGCGATTTCCATCGTATACCTCTCTTTCGCTGAAGCTTCCGCCTCCGACTTTGCAACCGCCTCACCCACCACTGACTCCAGGCAACCGCTGCAATCTCCATCGCATACCTTTCCCTCTCAGACACTTCCGCTTCTGTCTCAGCCCGTGCTACCACTGCCTTTCTAACCACCTCACCCACCATTGACTCCAAGACGACCGCTGCAATATCCATTGCATACCTTTCCTTCTCAAAACGTCCTGAATCCTGGATTCCAGCTCACTCACACGTGACTTGAGCCCTCACTCTCCTCACACCCCTGTTCTTTTCCGCTCTGCTTCCTTTTGCCCCTCCCTCTCGCATCTCCCACCTCACATGCTGCAGACCCCTCTCTTCCTCGCCATTCCTCTCCCTGCCCCTAGACACCACCGTATCAACCACAGCAGCAGCCATATGCTCGAATTGCTGCAGCACAAGCCAGCCTCCTCAGTTGACTTCGAACCACCCTAGTCACCACCGCACATCTACCACACCAGCAGCCAGGCCCTCAAATTGCTGCAGCACAAGCCCAGCCTCTTGTTTGATTCAGAAATCACCTTAGCCACCACTGAATCAACAAAGCAGCAGCCAACTGCTCAAACTGTTGCAGTAAAATCCCAGCCTCCTGTGCCTGCGTTTCCGCCCTCCCCTCTCCTTCCCCTCTCTTTCCCTTTCTTGCTGCACGATCAACTCTCCATCTCCCCCTTCTCCCTCCCTCCTCACTCCTCTCCAATCTCCCTGCACCTCTCCAACCCCTCTCCACCTCTTCCCGCAGCTCCTCACACCTCCTCCTCTCCCTCTCCACCTCTCCCTCCAGCTCCCCCACCTCCTCCCCCTCCCTCTCCACCTCCCTCTCCAACTCCTCACAACCTCCTCCTCTCCTCCCCAACAATCTCTCCACCCCTCTAACCGCCTCTCTCCCTGCTGCCGCCTCACCCTCCGCTGCTGCTGCTACCCCTCAGCAGCAGCAGTCGCAGCTTCGGCTGCAGCCACTGCCTGTGCGTGCAACGCGTCTCTTGCCTGCTCTGCTGCCTCTAACCTCCCCTGCCACGCCCTCTCCATCTCCTCGCCGTCTCTCACTTGCTCCTCCAGTGACTTTAGACTCGCCACAGCTGCTGCTGCAACGTCAGAGGCAACAACAGCAGGAGCTGTATCCGTTGAACCATGGCTGCTGTTCATCAGGACCATGTCTTCAGCTCTAGCCACTCGCTCCTCCAGCTCACGCACCTTCCTCGCAGCTTCCTCCAGCTCCCCCTGTGCAATCTGCATCGCTTCTGCCCTCCCTTCCTCTCTCCCTTCCCTCCTCCCCTCCTCTTTTCCCTCCTTCCTCCCTTCCTCTCTCCCTTCCTTCCTCCCTTCCTCTCTCCCCTCATTCCTCCCCTCCTCTCTCCCTCTTCCTCCCCGCAATTCTCCCATCCAATCTCACATCCTCCATCCCTTCCCTCCACGCCTCCTCCCTGCCCTCTTTCCTCCCCTCCTCCCTCCCCTCCGCCCTCCCCTCGCCCGCCCTTTAGCATAAGCCTCGTCAGCAGCAGCGCGGGCAGCAGCCTTCACCTGCTCCATCTCCTCCCTCGCCTCCTCCATTACCGCCGCCACAGCCTCTGCTATCATCCCTGCAGCGTCGCTCCCACCATCACTCGCACCATCACTTGCACCGTCATTCCCACCATCACCATCACCATCACCATCACCATCACCATCACCATCACCATCACCATCCCTTTCCACATCCTCCTCCCCCTCCATCCCTTTTCCATCTCTCCTACCTTCACCGTCCTCCTCACTTTTCTCCACCTCTTTACCACCCCCATCGTCACTGTGAGTGCTTTTACTACAGCCCCTCTCGCACCCAGAACCACACACCATATTTGAGCCCACATCCTCCCCAACGCCTGCTCTCCCTCCCTCCTTCCCATGCACAAGCCCACGCTTCTCATTTTCTCCCTCACTGTCCCCCACTCTCATCTCCCTCCCCTCCGTTCTCCTCTGCTCCACTGCGCCTGCCACTTTCATTGCCAGCTCAGCAGCCAGCTTTTCCAGGTCAGCTTTCAGCTGGTTGGCCCGTGTCTCGGCTTCCTCCCTCGCTGCCCTCTCAGCTGCAAGCAATGCCTCCATCCGTTCTATTCGATCTGATTGGATTGATTCTCTCCATCTCCGATGCTGCCTGCTGCTCCCCTTGCAGCTGCAGCGTACTAGAAGAGGGACCAGCAGCAAGCAGTACAAGAAGCACTACCACCAGAACCAGCAGCAGTGGCAACAGGACCATCAGCAGAAGCACCATTAGAAGCAGCAGCACCCCCACCAGCATTGGAAGCAGCAGGCGAAGACACAAACGCATCCTTTCCCTCCGCCTTCCTCTCTCCCTCGTCCATCCTCCTCCCCATCCGCTCCTTCTCCTGCTCCAGCCGTTTCATCTGCGCCTGCATGTCCAGTATCATCTCATCCCGGCGTTTCAACTGCGCTCTCAGGCCGCTGAAACTCCTCCCTGCGGAACAGAGGCGTGGGCCTGCTGCTACTGGCACTGGCAGTGCCACGGCTGCTGCTGTTGATGGCACCAGGAGGGGAGCAACTGTGCTGGTCAGACCAGGAAAGGCAAGCACAGGAGGACGCGGAGAAGAGGGGAGTGGGAGAGGCCGAGAAGAGGAACGAAGGGGGGAGTGGAGGCACTGTGGGATGCAGCAGAATGGAAGGCAGTGCCCGTCCCACCTGCACCACCAGTAGTAAAACCAGCAGCAGCAGCAGCAGCAGCAGCAGCACAAGTGCTGCTTGCGCCAGTGAAAGGCATGGAGAAAAGAATCTGAAAACCTCCTCCCTGCTGGAACACTCCCAAACCGAAACACGGCAGCCGGTGCCTGGCCTGAAACACAGGCTTCAGTAAGTGCAATCGCTGCTGCCGGTGCTGGTGCTACTGGCGTGCCAAGCCTGCTCGTGCCTCCCACAGCTGCTGAACCAACCCTGCCGCCAAACTGCCACTGTGCCGCGTTTGCCGCCGCTGCTGCTGCCCCTGTCGCCGTGACTGCAGCGCCAGCAGCAGCACCACCAGCAGCAGCAGGAACACCAGCAGCACTACTGGCTGCTGCTGAAGCAGACACAGATTCCATTGCCAGATCCTTAAGTGGTGTTGTCTCCCGCCCTTCCTCACCTCCTCCTCCCTCTCACCTCCTCCACCTCCTCCTCCTCGCCCTGCCTCCACCGCACGGGCAGTAGGCAGCAGTGCGGAAGAAACTGACGAATTCGAGGAGAGCGAGAGTCCAATGAAGAGCCGGCAGGCCACCCGCCTTTACAGCCGCGCTCAACGCCTCTCCATTCACCACAGCGCCTCCCTTCCTTGAGCCATCCGCTAATTGCGCTACATCACCAACACCACCAGTTGCAGCTGCGGGGTCTGGTAGAGCCGCGCGAATGGAGCGAGTCCCACGGAAGGAGGCGGTGGGGTAGAGGAAGGAGGAGATGCCAGGGGGATTTTAGATGCAGGAAACGGGGAGGGAGCTCCGGGGAAACGTGAGGGGGTTGCAGTGAATGGCGAGGGCGCAAACAGGTGAGTGGCAGAGCTGCCTTGATTTGACCCCCGCAGCAGCAGGGCTGTTGGCCGCACCGGCTGTGGCAGCAGCAGGGGCAGCAGGTACTGGCAGTGAAAGCACTGGCAGCGGCACCACTAGCGCCAGCAGCGCTGGCAACCGAGGGTGCAGGCGTGGTGTTGCGAGCAGCTGTGCGCAGCCGTGCGTGCCTCTTCCATGCAGGGGTGCCTGTGGGGACAGCGATGGCGACAGATGGGGACAAGGAGGATGAATGCAGGCATGAGTTAGCGACAACGAGAGAGGCACAATTGTGAGATGTGTCAAAGCCATGCGCGGCGGGGCGTGCCTCTTCCACACAGGGGTGCCTGTGGCCCTGTGGGGACAGCGGTGGCGACAGATGGGGACAAGGAGGATAAATGCAGGCATGAGTTAGCAGCAATCTGAGGATTCATTTGTACAGTCACAGAGCACAGAAGCTCAGACAACTGTGGAGAGAGATGGATGACATTACCTGCAAGGCAAAGGCATTCAAGGCAAAGGCATGGAAGGCAAGGGCATGCAAGACAAAGGCATGAGAGGCACAAGCATGAGGCAGAAAGCCTGGCACGGCACAGCATGCAAACATGCCTTCTCCAGGTCCGTTTGTGCCTCTCCCACTCCCTCTGTACCTCTCCCACTCCTTCTGTACCTCTCCCACTCCCTCTGTACCTCTCCACTCCCTCTGTACCTCTCCCACTCCCTCTGTGCCTCTCCGGCTCCCTCTTCGTCTCTCCCGCTCCCTCTGTGTCTCTCCCACTCTCCCTGTGCCTCTCCCTCTCCCTCTGTGCTTCTCCTGCCCCCACTCTGCCTACCTTCATCGTTCCCCTGAAAGGGACCTGATTGCACTGCGTCTTGATTCATCCGCCCATCCATGTCCACATGCTGCTGCCCACCCGCATTCACCAACCTTCGTCCCCCCCTCCGCTCCATCCCCCCTCGCCTGCCCTGCCCCCTCTCTCTCTCCTCCCGCAGCCAGCTTGCCAGCCCGCCAGGCAGCGGAGATCCCTCACTCCCTGCGCCTCCCCCTTCCCCATTCCCCCCTTCTCCTCTCCCCGCACCTCCACTCCGCCCGCCCTCCCCCTCCCCCTCCCCCGCCTCCTCCCCATCCGCCTGCTGCGCTGATGGCTGCTGGCGCGTCCGGCCCTGTGCTGAGCGCGTGGGCGGGTGAGAGGGCGTGGGGGCGCAGGTGGTCCGCGTAGAGGCCTGATAGGGGGAACGGGAAAGGGACGAGGAAGGGGTGGAGGAAGCGAGGAAACAGAAGCGCAAGGGAGGTGGAGGCGGAGTGTCAAGAGGAGGACACAACAGCGTAGGGAATTGCATGGGAGACAAGGTGGGGGACTGGAGGCGCTGGTGAGTCTGCTTGCATGCGTGCAAACGCACTCACCATACTCCGCTGCAGGAGGCCAACAACGACCTTCCACCAGCAGCAGCACCCGCAGCAGCAGCAGCAGCAGCATGGTCATGACGACCACTAGGTCTCTCTATTCTAGCAGACGTCACCTCTTCCCCACCCTCCTCCCTCCCTACCCCCCTTCCAAATCGCCTCCCCCTAGACTTCCGCCTTCCCTTCCCCTTTTCCGCACCCCCTTCCGCCCATATTCCCCCATCGCCTCGCTCCCCCCGCCCCCCTTCCCCCTCTATCCGCGGCCCAACACCCGAAAGCGCCCCAGATAGCTCCTTCTGCGGGAAGCTTCCGCCACAGGCGCGCCTATCCCTTGCGCTCCTCTAACGCGGGGGCCGCTGGTGCATGAGCGCGCGCCGTGATTGCAGGAGGAGGGCGCGCCGTGCTTATAACGGGGGGACGCGCCAGGGCAGGAGGCGAGGGAACGGGCGGAGGAGGCGGAGGAGTAGCGCGCGGACGCGTGGGGCGACCGCTGGGCGGGCCTTGGCGGAGAGCCATGGGGGAAGGCGGACGGGGGGGAAGGCGGAGTACGGGGCGTGCGGGGGCGTGGGGGGCGTGCGGGGAGAATGGGGGGCCATGGGGGAGAATAGGGGGGCGGAGCATGCGCCGAGAGGGGGGCCTGAGGAGCCGACTACGGACTCCGCGGCGGCGTGCTGCTGCCTGCTGCGGTGGCAACCGCCGCTTGTGGTGTACCACCGCTGCTTGCCGCTAACCGCGCCCCCCGCTAGAAGCACCACGGGAGCGCGTCTCTGGGTAACTGTGGGCACAAGACGAGGAAAGCGGGGTAGGAAGAGTGTGTCATTTCTTGCGTTGACGAACGTCAAACGCGAGAGAGCGGAGCGGGCCTATGCGGAATGGTGCTCGCTCCTTACCCTCTCAGAGGATATGAACCATCCGCGTGGCTTTCGTCGTGTCTTTTTTCAAATTCCGTCGTGACTCTCCTCGTGGGCTTATCCTCACTACTTACCCTAGGAGGCGACGGTTCCCGCGGGCGTATGCGACTGAAGTCGTAATACACCTGCTCCGCCTGTTCCCCCTGCGCCTGCCGCTCTTGCGCCAGCTGCTGCTGCCGTCCTTGCTGCAGCTCCTGCTGCGTCTCCCTCTTCCGCGTTCCCCCAGGTCCCCCCTTCCCCTCCCCCTGTCCACCTCCGCCTCTCGGGTCCTCTCCCGCTCCGCCTCGCGCATTCGTCGCAGCAGCAGCAGCTGCTCGCGCGCGGCCTCCTCCTCCCGCCGCTGCAGCTCCCGCAGAAGCTCGCTGCGGTTCATCCTCGCCTCGAGCCACGTGGACGAATCTGAGACGTTGACTCCCGACGGCTTTAAGTTAGACTCACAAGTATCGTCGATTTATTCTCGAGCCATTTGAGCTGGGTCAATGACAGATGGTGCCCTTCTGATCCGCTTGAAGAACATCTGGCAACGGAAGGTCCGTTTCAGAAAATTATTACGACAAGGCTGAAAGCGCTGACGACCATTAAGTCTTCTACCAGAAATGCGGCCTGACAAGCTTTCGCTTTTGACACAATGCGGAGTGTCAGCATCCGAAATGGAGGGAAGCGCGAAAGATAAATAAAGTTCCCAAATGCGTCTGGACTTACTCTGAAGGTTACGTCGAGCCTGCTAATGCCTAGACTGTGGTCCTAAACTGTGCCAAACACACGCAGCCTCGGAATACTTTTTGAAGAACAGTCACGCAAGATCACGGACACCACCAAATACAGCTCAGACGAAGGTCCCCAGCTAGTCGGATTTTGGCCGAAGCGAGGTATTTCCGCTGGTTCTGTCCGTCTCGTTCCGTTCCGTTCCGGTGGTTGGCTTCCGTTTCTCATTCGACGTTCTCAAGGAAGTCGATCGAACCGCGCTTCTTGAAAACCGTCTTGGCGCGAAGCTCTGACCCGTTGTAAAGTTAGAACGGGGTGTACCTGAAACTGTAAGGAATTATAATCCTTTAATGTACTCTCCCTTTAGCGAGTACATCCGGAGGGCCACACAACCATGGATTTATCGTGAGCTCTTGGTTACCGACGGATCCTTGCCTTCGTTGGTCGTGATCGACCGTGACCCCCCCCCACCCCTCTTCTCCCTTCGGGAAACAGACAACTGTGCCTGTCGCGGTGTTACAACGTATGTTAATTCCGCTGCATTCTGACGATTTGGGGAAGAACTTTATGTGGCAGGTGGCGTCGCCAGACCTGCGTCGGTGTCCGAATTATGTGGGAGGTCGACTGCCGTCCCGCCCAACCCGTTAAGTGCGGCGGCTTTTATTGTCAGATGATTATATTGCTGATGCATATATTTAGGCTGTAGTGGGGTAGCCCATAGGGGGTACAACCCAATTAGGGTTGGTATGACAAAAGTTAGAAGAAAGAAAGAGGATTGAACTAGCAGAAATGGGGATACAAATAGCAAACCCTAGAAGGGTTGTACTTGCTATAGAGCACCCCACTACAGGCTAGAACAATAAGATAATATTCTGACACACCCCCATAGCCAAAGTGGGGTGTAATCAGCAGAGCAGGCAAAGTAGTACAAGCTCAGGGTGGATCACAATGTCACCACACATTCTGAGCACAAGTTCAAGAAGAGATAGTTTTAGAGTTCACAATTATGAGCAGAGCTAGTGGTAGTCACAACGGGCAAGTGAGGAGGAGGAGAGAGAGTGAGGGGAGAGGAGATAGGAGGCGACGGCTGAAGCTGCAGGCACACGGGCAACAGGAGGCACACTGGCACAGCGGCTACCGGACAGCGCCCGGACTATAGGAGTAACAGGCCCCGCGGCTCAAATAGCGGCGGACGGGCAACGGACCCACGGGCGGCTGGCACAGCTGGCTACGACTTGGGCTACCGGGACAGCGCCCCGGACTACAGGTGCTGCGAACGACAAACTGACAACCTCCGCTCATCCTCCCGCACACAGTCCCACCCCCCTGATACACACCCACTGCTACACCGCTAGCTGCACTCCCACGCACCCCCCTTAAACCCTAAACCCGAGTCTCCCACACAACCACCCCCCTCAGCGACAGCTGCAGCAGTGGGAGACGAAGGAGGAGGAGGAGCAAAGGGAGGAAGGCACACCGAGCACCCCCATACCCGCCACCCCACAGCTCGCCCCTCAGGTCGCCTCGACGGACGACGGGAAATGGCAAGGGGGAAGGGGGGGGGGGGGGGGGGGGGGGGCGGTGTGGTGAAAGGGGCCCACCACGGGCCTGGTTGGAGGGCGGAGCCGCGACAAGGGGCGGGACCGCGACGGTCGGGGCGGGGCCGCGACGTAGGGCGGGGCCGCTTCGAGGGGCGGGGGCCGCGACGCAGGGCGGGGCCGCGACGTAGGGCAGAAGCCCGCCGCGCGCCTCGGGGCGCACAGCGGGCAAAGAACCGCCGCGCGCCTCGGGGCGCACGGCGGGCAGAAAACCGCCGCGCGCCTCGGGGCGCACGGCGGGAGGAAAAAGTAGCAGCGGAAGCGAGGTGGTAACCCACCCACAGGATCGATCCAAGGGGATCGACCTGCTCTGATAGCATGACAAAAGTTAGAAGAAAGAAAGAGGATTGAACTAGCAGAAATGGGGATACAAATAGCAAACCCTAGAAGGGTTGTACTCGCTATAGAGCACCCCAATACAGGCTAGAACAATAAGATAATATTCTGACATGGTACTTGTACTTGTTCTCATTTCATAGTGCACTCATTCTTCGCCTCTATTCTGATATGGTATCGAGCAGGTTCCCTAGTGGGAACTGTTCCTAGGGCCCACCCACTATTTCGTCCTGCCCTGAGCGCGCTCTGCCCTAGCCCGAGTCGCGCTGGGCCTCTTTTTCCCTTTGGCGGCCCGATCGTGTCGAGCCGCCCGCTTTTTTTTGGCGCGCCCCTTCCGCGGCCTAGTCGCGCCGCCCCTAGACGGCCGCGCCGCGTCGCGCGCCGCTCCCCCCCTCTGACTCTCGCGACCCCGCCGTCCCCTCTGACGGCCCCGCGTTCGCCTGTGACGGCCCCGCCGCTGCGCTTACCGGCCCCGCCGCGGCTTCAGGCGGCCCCGCCCCTGCACCTCGACGGCCCCGCCCCGTCCCCTTCGACGGCCCCGCCGTCCCCTTCGACGGCCCCGCCGTCCCCTTCGACGGCCCCGCCGTCCCCTTCGACGGCCCCGCCCCTGCACCTGACGGCCCCGCCGTCCCCTTCGACGGCCCCGCCGTCCCCTTCGACGGCCCCGCCGTCCCCCTTTGACGGCCCCGCCACTGCGCCTGCCGGCCCCGCCGCTGCACCTGACGGCCCCGCCGCTGCGCCTGCCGGCCCCCGCCTCTGCACCTGACGGCCCCGCCGCTGCACCTGGCGGCCCCGCCGCTGCACCTGACGGCCCCGTCGCTGCACCTGACGGCCCCGCCGCTGCGCCTGCCGGCCCCGCCGCTGCACCTGACGGCCCCGCCGCTGCACCTTCCGGCCCCGCCGCTGCACCTGCCGGCCCCGCCGCTACTTCAGTCGGCCCCGCCGTCCCCTCTTCCGGCCCCCGCAGCTGCATCTCCCGGCCCCGCCGCCCCAGCAACTGCACCGCCCCAGCAACTGCGCAGCCCCAGCAGCCGAGCCGCCCCAGCAGCCAAGCCGCCCCAGCAGCCGAGCCGCCCCAGCAGCCGAGCCGCCCCAGCAGTCGAGCCGCCCCTGCAGCCGAGCCGCCCCAGCAGCCGAGCAGCCCGAGCCGCCCGAGCCGCCGCGCCGCCCGAGCCGCCCAGCCGTCGAGCCGCCCGCGCCGCCCGAGCCGCCTGCACTGCCCTGTCTGGTGAGCACTGAGCTTTACTCTGCGCACTGCCCTCCCCCCTACTGCTGTCATGGCTACCCCCAGTGTCCTCACCTTTGACGCTGAGGGCAGAGCCATAGACTTTGACATGTGGGTAGACGACCTACTGCTTTTCCTACAGTGCGACAGAGCTGACGGCCTCTCTCTTTTTGATCTCACTTCTGGTGCCGCTCCCGCCCCTGCTGCTACTGAGGATGCCACTGTTCGCTCACAGTGGGCCACACGCGATGCTGCTGCACGTCTTGCTGTGCGTCGCCACCTCCCTCCCTCTGAGCGTGCACACTTTGGGTCGTACAAGAGTGCTCAGACCTTGTACGACGCCGTTATTGCACGCTACTCCACCCCTGCCACTGCTGCACTGAGCCGCCTCATGCTACCGTACCTCTTTCCCGACCTTGCTGCTTTTGCCACAGTCGCCGACCTCATTACCCACCTGCGCACTAGTGACGCTCGCTTCCGCGCTGCACTTCCTGCTGAGTTCTGCGCCAAGAACCCCCCCCCCAAGTACTTCACTCTCTACTACATTGTCACCCCGCCTCCCTGACTCCCTTCGCGGAGTCAGGGACGACTTACTCTCAGTCTGCCCCACCACTCTCACTGTTGAGCTCCTCGAGAAGTCCCTCCTAGCAGCCGAGAAGAGCATTCTCGCTGTAGGGGCCTCTCGTGGTGACCCGCGCACCCCCATCTTTGAGGGGTGTTCCCCCTCCCCCCCTCCTGCCCTCTAACGCCTCTGCTGCTACGGCCGACCTAGTTGGTTTTGAGTCGGTCGGTGCGGCGTCTGCCCCCAGTGGGAGACGTTGCTCTGGCAAGGGCAAAGGGGGCAGGGGCGGTGGTGGAGGCGGCGGGGGCGGTGGAGGCGACGGTGGAGGCAGCGGAGGAGGTGAGGGTGGTAGCGGGAGTGGTGGCGGGAGTGGAGGTGTCAGCGGCGGCAGTGGAGGCGGGGGCGGCAGCGGCGGTGGTGGTGGGAGTGGAGGCGGAGGCGGCGGTGGCGGCGGCGACGGTGGGAGTGGCGGTGGCAGCGGAGGTGGTGGCGGCGGCGGCGGAGGAGGCGGCGGCGGAGGAGGCGGCGGCGGAGGTCGTGGCTTGTCGCGGAGGAGTGGCTCCGGTGGTGGTCAGCGCCAGCAGCAGCAGCGAGGTCAGGAGACCCTCTCCCCCGCAGCAGCTCCGTGAGTGGTACGCTGCACGTCAGAGGGGTGGGGGTCCTGGTCCGTGCACCTACGTCCTCCGCACTGGCGACCGTGCGGGTGAGCCGTGTGGTGGTCCACACTCCGCCCAGCGCTGCTTCGGCCGCCTGACTGACGCCTGGCGCCGCCAGTTTCCTGATGCCTCTGAGATCCCTCGCTGGGAACAGCTGTCTAGGGCAGGAGTAGCTATCTTTGATCTTGACTTTGATGCTATTCTTCGTGCCATGTATGCTGTGACTATTAGTGAGGAGGGTGACTGTTACCGGTGTTTCCCGCCCGACCCGGGCATTGGTACTGCGGCTCT